CCCAAGCATTCTGCATGCAACGTTGGCATCGTTGAAAGTCCAATCACGATCACAGATTCCTCCCCATTGTCCTTCGTAGTATACGCCAACTCGTCCACTGTTATTGTACATACCGTTTTCAAGGCGTATTGCAAAAGGTAAGTCTGTTGTCGTCGTCATACTTTCTATTGTCGTCGTCATACTTTCTGCTGTCGTCGTCGTACTTTCTGCTGTCGTCGTCGTACTTTCTATTGTCGTCGTCGTACTTTCTGCTGTCGTCGTCGTACTTTCTGCTGTCGTCGTCGTACTTTCTGCTGTCGTCGTCGTACTTTCTATTGTCGTCGTCGTACTTTCTAATGTCGTCGTCGTACTTTCTAATGGAGTCGTCGTACTTTCTGATGTCGTCGTCGTACTTTCTGCTGTCGTCGTTGTACTTTCTAATGGAGTCGTCGTACTTTCTGCTGTCGTCGTCGTACTTTCTGCTGTCATCGTCGTACTTTCTAATGTCGTAGTGTCCTGATAAAGTGACATCGTTGTCGTCGATGCCGCTGTTGACTCTGGAATATACATACAAATCAATTCAGTGGTTTTCCTTTTATATACTGTTTGAGAATACAGGCGGTAAACTAATGGTGGCCTTAAATCCACGCGATTTGTCATAAACTGTATTCCATTTTTCTATTGCATGTAATTAAAGTAATGTCAAAGTTCAGCCTTCACATGCACACTTGGGAGTTCTTTTTTGAAAAAAATCAGCACTTATTTGTTTTAGATATTGTTTTTTAAAAAGAAGGTACATTGTACCTCCCAATATGATTTTTGACATTTATTCTAAAAAAAGAAACTTTATTTCCTTTGTCACATTCTGTCTTTCATACTATAAAGGCCCCTGTATTCCTAAAAGTACAGCACGGTTGTATCAAGCTCATTGATCAAGTGTCATCTAGTGCTATTTTCGTTAAAGTAAAAGATGTAATTAATTTTCGTGTTTTTTGTACAGTTGTATCATAGAAGTAACGTCTATGTTAATGTTATGTATAATGTTGTGTATTAATCCAAATTCAGTTGTGCTTTGTTTACATGCATTGTATCATACTGATTGTTTACATAAAAAACTGTTTATGATTATTTGTCACAATATGTGTAGAAAGTGCTAGGCAGATTTTTCTAGAAAGCTCGGTTACCAGAATGACCTGTGTGTTTCCGGAAGTTTCTAAATCAGGAAAGTTCGGTTATTATAATTACCTGTGTGTTTCCGGAAGTTTCTAGAGACACAAGCTAGGTACTTGCTAGTCAATAATCATCTAGAAAAGAACTCTCTAGAAACCTTTAGTGTATAAACACATGATGGAACCGAGCCTGACTTAAGTCTGTAAAGTGTGGACTTGTACAGTGATTCAGTGATAGTGCCTTGTGGACTTATATACCCAGCGAGGAAACAATTCTTGAACTTTTCTCCTGTTACCCTGTTTTCTGGACAATCTATTGTGAATTCTTCTGGATTTGGAGGATTTCCACGGAAAGATAAGTTCTGACTTTTGATTAATTAGTAGCTAGCTCTGTACACCATCGCAATATTTGTAACTATTGTAAACCTAGCTGTTGGGCTTCATTTGCTGTACGTTAATTCCGTAACGTAACAGTTAATGTATAGGGCACTGCTGTCCTTTTCACTATGAGAGACAGTAGTTATTTCTTGTATTCGATATTTTTCACATGCTAAGCAAGCTAAATACCATTTGAAAGAATGACTTCCGTTACTTTTTTGGCTGTGTTATATTTGAAACAAGGCCAGTAATCACATACTTTTTCATTGTGTCTTCCTGTTTCAAAAAATAAAAGAATTACAATAAGTTCAATTGGCTCACAAGCCGTGCCGGAGTCAAAACGAGCGACCTATCCAATCCAGTTATACCTGGTATTAGTCATGATTTCCACCACATCACATTGTGCTACTAATGACGTAAATAAAATCTACAGCATGAAGACAGGGTCAATGATGCCTTTTTTTTCCAGATTGCTGAACAAAAGGTAATAACAATGAGCTGCTGAATTTCAATGGAATCTAGAGCCTTGTGTGCTGACATGACAGTTTTACTATTGAGCTTTGGTTTTATAGGGCCTGTACCTTAGTTTGAATGAAATGTTTGTACCAAGAGATCTTTTGTTGAAGTATGATGAATATTGGTTAAGTAATATTACACAACTAGCACTAATATATGTGACTGATTTGACTTGTGCCATTCTTTGTACAGCTCCAGGAAAACAAATATAGTTCCATCATTTATAAAAAAAAATGGCGGTTACCGTTCCCTGCTTAACGCTGAGTATTGCGATAGTGTGGAGACTGATTGTCAGTATGAAAGTACGAGGTTTGGGTTATCCTGCTAGGGATTAAACAATATATAAAAGTGTGGTAGCCCTCTATAGTTACTGGAGATCTGTACTTCAAGAATGAGAATTAACATATTTCATTCACTCAACACAAATCCTTAAATAACCTTAGCCATTGAAATGATGTTTAACAATATGAAGTAAAACAGCCATGGTAATATGCCACCAGTATCCATGAATAAATGAACTAATGGCAATTTTAAAGTGCCTTCACATTGAAAACTTGAGCTCGATATCATGAAACTCTGCTCGGTCATATTTTATAGAAAACTATCCTTATACGCCAATGTTGCGCGACAATCAGGAGGAACACAGTCCTATATTTATAAATATCAACTTTTTTTGAATTAGTTGTGTAACAAACTTTCAGCCTTTATTCATCACTCGTGATGACCCAGTTGGAGAAGTGTTCGAGGGTTTTTGTGTGGGAGGAAAGTGAGGTAACTTGTCAAACTTTGTAACGAAAATCTAAGATGGCGGCTCTGCTGAAATTGAATGTAATTAGTGGTCTCACAAACATCATTATGATAGTTATGATAAAAACTGTCGTTTAACTTACCTATTGATTCATAATAGAGGATGAAGAAAATGAAGATCGGTGTTTTTAGATTAATCGCCATTACATAGATTGTTTACAGCCGTGAGAATACCGTATGGTAACGAAATGTCCTCTTCACTTCAATATACATTCCACTGGCGTCAACAACACATTGGTATGTTACCTGAGAACGAGGCCATTCTATAGGCTTATTGAATCATAACGGGAGCCCATGCCCAATGTTTCAAAAGAGGCACACACCTGTTTACCCTCTGACGAGGAAGCTACACATGTTTACCCTCTGACGACGAAGCTTTTATTGTATCTCCGACAATAAGAATGTAATTTGTTTTATGACATTATACGGAAACCCACTGTCAGCCGTCAATGTATTACATACACTGTATAGTCTCTAGTATACTGTTGTAGTAGCAATGTGCTTTAACAGTGCAAATTTCTTACCTTCTGTTTGCATTACAATGTGACCAGCTGACTAGAGTATTTGCATTAAAAAACAAAGGTTTGGTTATATTTCTTTACGTCCTACCAACAACTACGTTAATTTAAGGACGGCCTTCTGGTGTATGCGAATGCATGTGTTAAATGTATGCATGCGTATGTTTTCCAATTGACAAAATATTGTTGCCTTACGTCCTATTAACAGCCAGAATTATCTAAGGATGTGCCAGGTTTGGAAGTTGGAAGATGGCGGACACCGGGGTTTCACGGATGAAAACACAGACCCGCAGACAGTACCTAGCTACTGTCCAATATATGATTATAGCCTGTGTCTCACAAGTGAAGTTTAGTGACAATCTAATTTGTGAAACTCGTGGTCTTTAAGTAAAATTGAAACAGACAAGGTCAGATGTTAGCGAAACAAAACCATACATATCAGTGGTAGAATATCAGGACTCGTATCATATGATAATGAGCTAGTTCACCTCATTACGTGACTATACCATCAGGGGTATGCTAGGCCTGTTTGTCAAATAGAAAATAGTTGGTCACATCACATGTCGAGAAAATGATTTGTAGGATTTTCAAACTGTTTCGTTATTATAATGGTAATTTAAAAATCTACAATGATTTTAAAGACGTATTTATACATACGTTGTACCAGGAAGTTCAGTATAAAGCACATGCAGTGATTCTAGTGAACACGATATGTCGAAAGGTCAAATCGTTATATGTATCAGATGAACGATTTTAAGTATGACGTTTCTTTATACAGTTCGGTCTGTGAATGCTTACTGTGCAATGTGTATAAGGTAAACATATTTATGTTGTTGTAATCTGTCTGGCAGCTATTCATATTACAACAAAAACAAGACACAACATAAATACGTTGATCAGTTTTATTGGCCATTAAGGATGAACTCAATTGACTGATATATATGGTAAAATAGAGATAATGAAGTACTTGTATGTGCTCATCAATTATGGATAAATAGATATTGTATGTTGCCTTAAAGCATGATAATAAAACAAAAAAATCGCACATGTTCAGCTAGTGAAAAATAAGCTATTAGTATATGATATGATATCTGTATAAGAATGGGATTGATGAAAAAGTTTAAATTGTAAAATATAATAAATGTCTTATTAAAATAAATAAAAATTACATATGAAATAAAAATTCTCACGACCTACACCGTACAGAAGGAAACAAAAAGGAACACCGACACATTATCAACAATCCCTTCCCCATATCGTGTGTAAATATTCACGTGAACTTTAAGGTTTTTTTCGCTGTCGGCTGGTAAACCAAGAACAAATGCGACGTAAACAGGTACAGCTTAAAGGCGACTGATTGTTTCCGTTAACACTGAAGCCATTTGTGATTTCCCACCTAACGTACATATACATCGCTTGGTTTTAAGCATGTAAGTTTTACATACGTACATGTTAAACTAGCGAGAGAGGAAAATTAAAACGCAGCTCATTGTAGGCAATGGACACCTTTTATTTAAACATTGTATAATATACATTTTTAGTGATATCATTCTCCCCTTTCTTCCATATAACGATTTATAAATACCGTTGGTCCATACGACAATAAAACATGTATGTTATTTTCTTGTCCAGATCACATGAGACAGAGAGATAGGAACGTGACACGGCGTTGACGGGAACAACTTGGTATGCTCTTATTGCCACATGAACACATGTTAACTCCATCCACACTAAGGAACAGTTGACCCTGTCGGTAAACTTTCCCTCCATCAATACATGTGCCTATAAAACCAAACGTTCATCAATTTTAGATACATTTTACAAATTTGTAAGAAATCATAACAAATAGCGTGTAGAAAAAGCACCCTATTCATTTATGGATTGTGATTATGCTGACATGTTGGTATTTTTTTCTTGATTTTGTTCCCATTATGACCTAGATTTATTGAATTTTGAATTGACATGTTGGAATATATATATATATATGGGCAAGAATTAGCTAACGTAACCCTAAGTGTGACATTGCAAGAAAAACAATATTTATAAGCCTACAACTTTTGTTTGAAGTATAACTGTAAATGGTGTCTTTCTATGTGTAACAAAAAAAGTCATTTTGAAACTTACTTCAGTTAAGAACAATGAGAATTAATGAATTTAGAGCATGTAACCTTGACATTATTTCCAAACTGAGATTGATGATTCTTTGACCTGTTTAAAGTTTAGTATTAGGTTTGTTTATCTCAAAACATTGTCAATCATCTCGACCTAACAAATTACATTTTGTAAATTTATCATGTATTTCAGAAATTCTATGAAAACAGGTTTCCTCTTATTGTTCTGTCAATGTTACATGCAACTATTAAGAGATAAATATAATCAGAATTATGTTCTTGGTAAACAAGAAAAGTCATTTTTTCATTATGTTACTATCGTATAAAGAAAATTCTATCAATACTTTTGCAACCTTCTCATTTCAGTAATAAAGTAATTACACATATGTTGCATGTAACATGGACACAAAAAATATAAATCATAAAGCATGTCATAAATGCTATTGAAACATATAAAAAGCCCCCCAATACACTATCTGTATGTAAATTATAATTATACTCCCACATATCTCAAATATAATATCGTTTAAGTAGTCGCATGTAACATTGACACCAAAAACGTGCAACTATTTATTTTCGAGTCAAGGATACGTACGGAAATCGTCCCCACCAAAAAACGCTATCGTGAGGTCAAACATGTTTCAAATACCAGATCTACTGTTTTTTGTTGAAAAATACAAAGAAAAAATCACACAATATTATCAAAGATCATATTTTACTCCAAATGTGTGCGTAACACTTCGTTACGTGATCAAAATTACCAGATTCCGTGATCTCGTCGAGTTCCTCTACACCAATAGACGCTATTTTTGAAAACTGCATAGTCACGTGTTAACGTTACTGGAAGCGGGTCGAAATATCGCAAAAATATTATCGTTACGCGATCTGTTACAGGAATACAACTGTTCCAAAGAGAGGGGATATTTTAGGGTAGTTTGGACACGAAAATTAATTATATTTTATTACTTGATATATTTTCCGAACTCCAGTTGATTGATGAAAATTACAACAATTATATCGTACCTTGTGTTGACACTGCGTAAATTTGCAAATGCCGTGTCGATGATGCTTTTCCAAACAAATTTATTGAGGGAAAAGTGCACGTAACGTTTGTTGACGCGAAAGGTTACGTACATTGGTCTATTTTCAATCCCATTTTTTTGCAGCATTAATCAAATCCTGTACAGAACAAGCGTTTTTTTATCGATAGACAGGTCATTTTGCAGTTGATTAACAACTTTTACAGAACCACAATTCTTCAGGTATTTGATAAATACGACTCGGAGTTTCACTACTGCAGAAATGTCACACTTTTTGCCTATAATTTATCCACTGGCAGAGTACAACTTGTGTTGCTTCCTTACTATTTCATCGATTAGATCAATTTGTTTTTTCATATGACGATAAAAATAAACCAACTTTAATTTTTAAACAATGTCTATTCTCCATACTTGCATGATTTTGTTTGTATTTTATTGGATAAACAACTTTGACACTAAAATTTCATTAGCGATTTCTTGCCTATATATGTATATATATATTTTTTAAATATTAAATATTTTATCGAACTTGAATTGCAATTGTTGATATGTTTGTATTTTCTTGATTTTTTTTTTCAATTTTATCCACGTTTTATTGATTTCTAATTTGGATTATGATTATTTTGACATGTTGGTATTTCAACGTTTTTTCCTTTTTATGAAATGTTAATTCTAGGACTATTGTATCGGGGGTAATAAACCCAAAGAAACCAAGTCACATTAACTATATGGCTTCCTTGAGTAACCGTGGAATCAATTAACAAAATATCCCAACGAAAGTCGGTGGTTTTGAATAGAAAAGGGGCTTTCATAGGAGATATTGCACATCCTTGTCAAGCTAGGAATACAGGTACTCAAGTGAAATCTTTGTTATTTCATCTCTGTGGGACTAACGACGGTTTACAATGATCCCAATTGGATATTTATAAATTGAGATGTAGATATCGAGGTAAAAATACCAAGTTATGACATGACTGTCATTAACGTGCTTCATATGGCCACCACTTTTTCGTCAGTATTAAATAAAAAGCGCAAGGAATAGGCTCGATGTCATGCTAATATTGTTATAACGTTTCAGTGTGACTTCGCTATAAAATAAAAGCGTCAGTCAGTGGTCACATAATCCGTGAACACCATCTCAAGATGCTCTCAGTTGCATCGATCAGAAGCAGAAGACGCTTACTCTTCCGGAACACCTAATGTGATTATCTTTGAACTTTTCAGGAGTCTACATGTAAATCTTTCATTTGGTCATATTTTGCCCGAGTTTCATTTAATTTGAATTTGGATTATGATTGCGTGATATGTTGGTGTTTGTTTCTATTGGGAGGATGTGGAAAATCCCATATCATGTGAAGTGTAAACAGACAGATTCAATCATCCATTGATTTAAATCCAATTCAGGGAGTCCCCGTTCCGTTTGATTGCACTTGAGTTGATATGTTTAATCTTTTGCTGAATATTGATGTAGAATTTCAAACTTTAAAATGCTGCGCGGATAAAATGTTAGAGGAATACGCATTCTAATGTCAGTAGAATTATGATCCTCCAGTGCGCGGCGGAATTAGCGCGGTAAATCGCAATGGATATAATAAACTTATTGGACACTATATAATTTGATATTGACTTAAGCATCTCCCCTCTGTTGCAGATTCGCATTTTTTCTATCCATTGTACTAAGCAACATCGAATTCCCATTACCTGGACACACCCTACAGTTTCCTTTTCCACCTCTATCATCACGACAGGCTACTGGTGGACACTGCCATTTCTTACAGACGTGGAATCGTCCAACCTGCATACAGTAATGGTCCCGGCCGACACTCGGACGGTCTTGCCTAACATTCGTGATAACACAATTTCCTATTGTCATTTTCAAGCCTGGAAAGAGACAAGGTAAACATGGTTATTGTTTTTATTTATTTTGAATTTCCTCTCAACAACCAGAGGTCCAAGAGGGATCCTGGTCCCCACTGTAGTTTGAGTATTTTTTTCTCTTTTATCTTCTTTTATTTCTTGATCATGATTATATGAAATTGGAAAATTTACTTTAAAAAGTAGCGAAAATTAAAATATCTAAATTTCATTGACTAAAACAACGACCACTGACAAAACTAAAAGAACACAACTAGAGACCAAAAGAAATTACAAAAACAAACCTTCATGGTTTCAGCGATGTTTGTTACATCTCCAAACATTTGCCTTGCCAGGCACACTCAGGTGAACTTACATTTGAAACTTAGAAATGATCCATTCATTTCTTCGACAAAAATAGCGATAACAAATTATGACTGTCAAGAAAAAAATAAGAAGAAGAAAATGAACAAAATGACCTCCTGTCTAATATTTTGTTTTGCGATCTATCTCAATATTGACAATACGTATCAATGCTCAAAGCGAAAGATACAAGTAACATTAGATATTGAGAGATAGCGATAGAATAATCATAACTGTCAAAATTCAAGATGGCCGCCTGTTGAGAGATTTTGTTTTTTCTATCAATCCGGGCACTAAGGTCACATTTGTTAATTGTATGCACAGTACACATATACATCTTATTTAACTGTATCTTTTTCAAAACAATAACCAAACTATTTCAGCCTATACTAATCACTCTTGTTAGCCTGCCGGGTGTTAGCATGCGAGGGTGCTTACTGTGGGAGGACTGGTGACCCTTCACGTTTCTTCTGAGAATCTAAAAACCTAAAAGAAATGTGCTTGTTTTCTGCGAATGCAGTTAACGTTTACCAAAAAGCTGACCAAATGCAAGTTAACAACCTTTTTTTATTATTATTTTTTTTATGAAAGATCTTGATCGTAGAAACCTGGAATACTACCATACGGAAGTCTTTAAGAGGATTCATTTTTACCAACTGTTATAAAAAGACATGTTTAAAGTGATCGTTCGTTGATGTACAATATAAATTATAGTAAGTAGAATGTATGGTTATGTTCATAAATGTGGTCAGAATCATTATTTGAAACTCAAATGGAAGAAAACGTCGCCCCAAAAATAGCAAAGAATGCCCCTGATTTCAATGAAACAATTAAAAAGATATCAAAATGGATGTTTCTTACTAGAAAAGTTAAAATGCTTAGTCATCACAGTTGAAAAATTGCTTGGCACCTCTCAGTTAAAAATAGCACGAGTGCATGACTTGTTTGTCTCAGTCTGGTAGGAATGATCAAGTATAGCATTTGTAAAATCTCAAATTCGAAGACCAATGTCCACAAGCACGCCACTTGGCAATATCAAAGACATATATAAACGTAAAAGGAACATACACACGTAAAACACATGTGTTTGTGTAAATGTATATAACAGAAGCCAAATATTGAATTAAACTGCATCATTAAGCTGTTTCGTACTTCTAGGAATCGTCAGTGATGTTAAGAGTACAAATATTGAAACCTTCGAATGGAAAAAATATCAAAATCTAGATACAGAGGAACTGCAGCAGCATTGATCGTCTTAGTCCTAGTTTCTGATATATCTGATGATCTTGGAAGATTTGTTTAGTGTATACTCTGAACCACACTACTATTGGAATGAATTATACAGTATTTAAGATGTACTATTTTTAGATAGCCTTGGGATACTAGAACATAATCCATGAAAATAACATACTTACCTGTACTGGGTGTTAGGAAGAGACAAATTAACACGAGAATGGAATACATATTCATTGTATTCCATATAACAGATGTAAACATGTTTGTCGTCGACTTCTTAATGGTTATCTCCCTTTGACACTCTACCTTATGTACATGTTTTCATCACCATATGTCATATGAAGGTTTTTTTATCAATGATGAGGTCAGTAAAACGTACATTACTAGTAAGCTAAAGTTCAAATAGTCAATATAAAAAAAGTTGTTATTTCCATGCCCAATCAATGCTACGTTCTCTAGGCTTCACGAAACACACCAATCGCCTGAAGTAACCTTTTCACCGGGATTGACCTAATGTGTGTACATCATTATATACATGTGATACAGGTGTAGTTCGCAATGCATTTAATACGTATGTTAAAAAAAATATTATCTGATGCCTTATTGTTTATACAAAATTTATTACATATATTATCGTTACGGTAAAAGAATGAGTGCTGATTGATAAGATGTGAGTCCATATTCAAGGGTTTAACTTTTGGTGGACATATTGCATTATGTTTCAATATAGTCTCCTTCGGTATCTATACGCCTTTGTCGGCAATGTTTAGGATCCTCAACGCCACTTTAAAAGACGTACTTTTCTTGACAGTTCAGAAAGTCCTCCATTGCATATATGACGTCATCATCTGATCGAAAGTGGGAACCGGATATGGCCTTTTCTCAATTTTTGAAATAGATGAAAATCTGATGGAGGGAGATCAGGCGGATAAGGCGAACGCTTAATTAATTCAAAACCACAACCGTTAATGGCAGTCAAGGCAATGACAGACTTGTGAACAGGGGCATTGACCTAGTAGAACAGCACATCTTTTCTTCGTCTCCGCGGCACTTGACTTTAATTTTCTCTTAACTTCCAAAGAATTTATGCATAATATGTGCGATTGGTTGTTTGTCCCTTTTGCAGATTACCTACTATCAGAATACCCTCAGCATCCCAGCTGATGGAACAGTCTTTGCCATTGTTTAGACTCTTGTTTGGCCTCTGAAATGAAATGGTGGACCCACGATTTATCCATAGTCAAACCCATTACAGAAAGGTTCGGTTAAGCAGGCGACAACATCCGCATGGCGTGCTTCTGATCTACTTGCAAAAGCCTTGGTACCCAATGGGTACAGGATCTTCCATAAAATTGGGATGAATTCTTTGCGGTGAAATCTAAACTGTACTGGCTACATATCGCTCTGTTTCTCGCTTGACAGCCAGAACAATAACAACTTTATTGTTGTAATAGTGACAAGCATTCCAGGACGGGCGTCATACCCAAGGCTACACACTTGAATTCCACCACCCACCTTTTCACTGTAGCATATGAAGGGGCGTCATTTTCTATAATTGCTATTATATCAGTATGCATATCCTTAAGTGCCTTTCTAATGCAAATACTGAATCACTGCTCTTTCAAGAGTCACCTGCCTTGTTTATTTTAGAGTGCTACCACATAAACGGACCAAATGACACCAGTCTTCGGGTACACAGCCTTAAATAGTCAAGGAATAGTAAGACTGAAAAAGACATCCCCGCTTAAATACAAAGGTTGACAATTTATCAATCATCACCCGTATAGTTCAATATTCCGTGCTATATTTACTTGTGTCGATTTCAGTATCACTGCAGCCTCCTCTCGTGTTGTCAAGCCTTCGTCAACTACTAACCACCATTTTAAGTACTAACGAATCTGGGGTACAGTCTCTAACTGTGATACTGTTTATTCAATAAGTTGAATTAATGGTATGTGGATTCTGAAGAACTCCAAAGAGCTTTCAACCAATCTTGAACACCCTCTTCTATAAAAAAAATTCCTTTATCAGAATATTTGATTTTTACACCCTGAACACCACCATATCCCGTTCTAAACCGTAGGAACGCCTTCGTTCTCTTGTTATGAAAACGTTTTTATCCAAGAAATGTGAATGGCGGTATAAATATATGGTTGTTAATTATGCTGAAGTGTATTTCGTAAATAGCACGTCAGATCAAAGAAGAGATATACAGAAGACGAAATGATAAAAGTGCTCGAATTTCTGGTTGACAATATCTTTATTGAGTATGGTGGTAAGATCTTCCAACAGACTGTTGGTATACCTATGGGGTCTGATTGCGCCCTTTGTTGAATGACTTGTTTTTGTTCTCATACGAAGATGAATTTATTGACGAGCTTATCAAAACAGATTACGCAAACTTAGCAAAATCGTTAAAATTTATCTTTCAGATATATTGATTACGTCTCGTTTTTTAATTACAAGACATTTATTGACTCGACAGACTCATCTACCTTTGCTTCCCACTAAGCGTTATGAAAGGCACTGTGGTTTTAATTTCCCTATTGTGAACTGTCCATTTTACGTGTTAAAAAAAAAGATTGTCATGATCATTTGCCGTTTCAATATTTGTCAATGAAATTTGTTGAAATGAGACTGTTTCACTGTGCCTTGTATTAAAGGAAAATGTACGAAACGCATTTGAAACTTTTCAAACAATAAATTCAACTCTTCTTGGCCTAGATGGAAACGCATGCGAGGAATCTGATTGTATCAGGAAACCGGAGTACTCGTAGAAAACCCATGTGGTGACCACCTACCTTTCCATGTCCGTTCCGAGAATCGAACCTCGGTCGGGCAGGCGAAAAGGAGTTGATTGCCACTGAGTCACCGATCACTTAAATGAAAACTGTTAAATCTCCGGAACACACTTATTATCATTGTGGTTTTCATCTATCTTGTTTGCTGTAGATCATTTTGTGTTTGGTTTTCAAAAACCCTGGCTATGACATTATTAAACTCAAAGAAAAGAAAGACAAAACAATTTACCTTTATTGTTGTATCCTCAAACATAATTGTTTTCCCTACCTATAAACAAATCAAAACCAAGTGTTTTTATCTGTGTTCGCAAAAAATCAAAGAATTTATCGGCAACGTTATAAAATAATTCCTCTCATTTATGGCTAAAAACCTTGTTGATTTTCAGTTGATAAATATGTATCTATTTTAAACAATATACACAGTAAGGTAATAAATTAGTCTAACAATTGAATATCTACTTACATGTAATAAGTGTTTAAGGAATCAGATATATGGATATTGCCCTAGAACAAATATTATAGATGTACTTACTATTTACTGAGGTGATATATAAATAATTCGTTTTTGCAATTATAGGTTCTTGTGTCTTTTGATTGGTTAAAACACAAGAATACACAACAGAGAAAGGTCTATTGCTAAATTTGTCTTTACAATATGTGTAATCGATGTATCTTTCTTTTGGTAAGAAAACAATATGACTGTTTTCAGCGTATTTCACGCTCGCATGACCTACTCCAAGGCCATGAAAACACGCCGGAGATGAATATCAGTCACACATTTCAGGTAGGGTAATGACTGCTAATCGACCAATCACTCCTGGAAAAAAATCGTTGTCATGATTTACGTAAGTAAATATGTTGACAACATTCTCCATAGAAATAGCAAAGGGTTGATCCACTAGGATTTAGTAAAATTATACTTATTTTTTATTCTTATATTTAAAGATATATTCATTAACCAGGAATTTTTGTTGTGTTGTGCGTTATCACGTGTCTCATAAATATACCTACCTTTGTGCCTGTTGCCCCATTCCATGATCGCACGGGGTCAACAAACTTCTTCCGAATCGATCTCTCGTCCGTATACGTCGGTCATTCCAAGCGGTGGTTTTGTGGGGTCGATTATTTCGGGGACGATCGGATGTTGACCCAGTTTGATTTAAAATCGTCAATTGTATTGAAATCGTACCATCAACACTGGCCAATTTGTAGCCTGGACCATGCCTATAGTCCCTTCTTTTTGTCTTTGTGGCAGTCAAGGTAGAGTTAACGAATAGCAATATAAGGTTTGTTTCCTATTACACTGGATGTCGGTGTCCCCCTAAACACTTGTTCTCATATTACACTGGATGTCGGTGTCCCCTTAAACACTTGTTCTAATATTACACTTGATGTCGGTGTCCCCTTCAACACTTGTTCTCATATTACACTTGATGTCGGTGTCCCCTTCAACACTTGTTCCCATATTACACTTGATGTCGGTCTCCCCTTAAACACTTGTTCCCATATTACACTGGATGTCGGTGTCCCCTTAAACACTTGTTCTAATATTACACTGGATGTCGGTCTCCCCTTAAACAATTGTTCTAATATTACACTGGATGTCGGTGTCCCGTAGATATTGGTCCCCTCAGACCTGAGGGACCGAAGATGTCGAAAAAGAGAGAAAAAACTTCCATCTCCCTATTAAATTCAAATAGAAATATCTTTTTAAAAGGGGATTCCATTTTGTGCAATTTTGAGGATAATTCGGATCAGCTTTGAAATCTTCCTTATTTGGTTGAGGAGATTTTGAACAAATTTGGTCAGAAGGAAAGGAACTTAATTATGTATAATGGTTGGTCTCGTCATGATGGTCTGTTGGGCGAGGCTAGGTAAAAGTGGATATTAAGCAAACTGTTTGAAATTCTTCTTCTGTAGGTATTTTGAACTTTAGAATTTTGTCCAAATTTGGTCTGAAGTATTCTGGTATACATAAAGTGTCGTTTTGTATAAAAAAAAAGGTCTAATACCCCAGGCGCCTTTTTGGTTATATGAAGATATTTCCATCCAATTCTGGTTTATATGGACATATATAACGTAACCTCGTGACATTGGTGGTCGTGACAGGTATTTGTTTTCGGCTAATACATGTAGATTTCTCAGACAATGGAAGAAAGTCAGTAAAGATCCAGTTTCGAATAAAGCGTTATTATGATTTTAAAACATCCGTTTGATTTTAACATATTAAATATCAAATAAATATTTACAAAATAACTGGACATAAGTTTTCTCTATTTATCATAGATTTAATTGTTTGATATTTTAAATGTTCTCGTTCGACAAAAATAGGAAAGAACCATGTGATATGTTTCCTTCTGAGAGCAGGGATCTTACCACTGTGCTGTCGTTACGATATTGATTCCATATACATTAAGTGTAGAGTTTTAAAGGTTTCTTACAGGAAATTAAACCGAACCCTGTATATCGCTGTACACTTATTATTTAATCTAACTTCCAATTAAAGTTTAACACAGGAGACAGTCGTCTTTAAAAGTTTAGTCCCTTGATATCACTGACGAGTGTTATAGGGACGAAATAGCTGAATGATACACTTTAATGCATTATTTGTCGTGTCAAACTCTTAATAATCATTATATGTGTTTTTCAATTGTGTGTTTTTGTATAATCTTCATAGAAACCTTTTGAAACAGAGGAATCTTATGCTGAAATGAAACAATAAACCTCGTGATTCATTGTGATGTAAAACATCCCTATGGTTTACTTGCTGATCTTTGTCTTACTCTGGCTTTTCCAGGAGTCTCCGTGTAAATTTTTCTATTGTTCATAAATTTGGTTCTGTGGAATTTGAGTTTGAATTACGATTACGTCTTACAGTATAGTCCTTTACTAATTGACACGACATTCATAGTTACATACACATAATGGATAAACCCCTGCCTATGATAATGAATCAGTATAATTACTAAATAGCCTTACGTCAGTTTATTTTAGCGAGGCAAGTTTAGACCTGCTCTACACCAGCCTTAATAAAAGTCGACACACAGCCACATGTTTTAGTCACCTCTCTCTGTCAGCAGCTTGTGTATACAGGAGGTAAAATCTTTAACCAAGACAAGGAGAAACTACAGGTGAGAGTAAGTCCCAATAGTAAACGATATATCTCTGTGTTGTCACACTAGAGGTATCGTACTTAAAACCTTAACATGCTTGTAACATCTCAGCCTAGGTTCTTATTTAGCCTACGGACAGACGACACAACTCATACAAATGGTGTCAACAAGCCTGGACTGTTTTTTTTTTATTCGGACTATCTCAACACTCTGCAGGTAAGTACAGGGTAATGGTCGAGGAGTACGAATGGATCTTGGGATTGACTAAGAGCCGGATCGGATCTATTTTATCCGGAATCAATAATAATACTACATTACAATGCTGTATGTATTTGTAAGAAAAAAGAGATTTTAACTCCCGATATTGTCAGTTATAAATCATGGAAGATGTCTCGTCCGACATCGCCAAATCAGGCAGCTAAACTGACGATAAAGACCAATTACTCAATTGACACAAATATCATTGATGGTTCCTTGTAAAGAAGAAACACGTGTGTGTATATTCGTTTCATCTTCATGTCCTAGGCAGTTTTGGAAATATCACAGGAGAAACGAAATTATTTTATCACTGACGGTATCGGGAGTCCATTGCGTTTTAATTTTTCCAATACACAATATGTTTATTTTATGTCACACAGTAATAATATCTATACATACATAATGATGGATATAGACTAGTTTCTCTAATCAAGTTGTGAAACAAGAAAAATACCGATATTGTGACTCGGGTACAATGGCAACAAAATATTTCGCAAAAAAAGAGAATAAAACCGCAATAGTAAATATTTCTAATTTGAGAACAAAATATATGCACATCTACACGTGTCTTATAATATTTCTGTAAAAATTCTTGTAGGTTTGCTTCCATGTTCAGGGGTTTGAACAAAAACCCCTCCTAACCATAGGTCTTGTTTATCACTGTTATCATGGCAACGAAATATCATTGTAGAAAATAAGATATAACTTAATTTATGTTACAACAATTGCAAAATAAGTTATTTTAACCTATACTAATTACTCTTGTTGGCCCGGATGTAAGCGCGCGAGGAGTCTTATTATGGGAGGAAACCAGAGTATCCAGGGAATACAAAACTTTTGTATATTAGTTTTCACTATAATCGGACAATATCTCAGTTTCGACCAATCCGAAGCCTCCATTTTGCTTCCATAGAAACAGCGCTGGAAACACTCGAAGTGTCAAATTATTGGTTTTCACAAGTTACATTATTTGAACAAATTTTATTAGATTGAATAAAAGGACTGCTGAGCTATCGGCAATTAAATAAAAACCTGTGTGTATTGAGATGGAAATTATTGCAACCATAATTTCTCTAAAAAAACAATTTGCATGCAGATCTACACATAGTCTCTCATTCATGTATAGATTTTTAAATAGTAATTCAGGAGTTTGTACGAACAGACAAGCTGGTACTAGCCTGCCCCAAACTTCGATTACGGAAGGAAGCGCGTTATTAGTATCACACTGTTCCATCGATAATTTGGAAACAGATAGCATGTGATCCAAGCAAAATACAACCGAGGAAAAAAATACTGAAACTGCGTTTAGTAAAAATAAACAATACATGTTTGTATTAAAAAAAGAAGGGACGCTTTTGATTATCAATTAAAAATCACCTCCTACTGCTAGCATACTATCACCTGGTGTTGGAATTTAGTGTTATAGTCTTTGTCATTTAATGCTTGAATATAAGAGGTACTGATAGCCTAAATTTTATAGTAACTCATCGTCATTATCTACGGAACTTTAAATGTATGAGACCTGACACAAAGTACGATACAGTATCACACAATGACGAAGAAAATTGAACGATAGGGTTATAGTCACCCACAAACCTCCGAATATTTTTCTGAAGCCGAATTAAGCCCTGATCACGACAATAAATGTGAACGTTGCGTAAGTTGGGACAAGCTTACGGTTATGACGTCATAAAGATGGTCGCCATAGTGAAATGTACCCGAAATGTGGAAAAAAAACTCATAAAATCGTTATTTTTCTATCAAATTTAACAAATGACGCATCAAAATGACCGCAATAGAATAAGAAACAGATCTGTTAACAAAACAAACTACTATGAATAGATTCATTTCAACAAAAATTATACCATTTCTGTGTGTTTAAATATCTAACAAACACAGACTTCATGTCATTCGAGGGTACATATTATCAATTCAGAGCACTGCCTGTGTTTCACTGTCGCTTTGTACGCTAAACTGATCTAACACATCTGTCAGCTGATGTACAGTTTCCGAGTCATCTGAATCCACATCATCGTCAGACTATAGTGGTTCGCCAGCGATGTTGATGAACTCCTGTGGCAGAACATCTCCTTTGTACCACAGTGGCTCCAGCATTCCATCCTTGACCTCCCATCATGGTCAACCTTCATATCTGGTTTAGCAATGTGGGCCCTCTTCCAGATTCCAACCTGATAGTTGACACGTCTTACGTGCTGCTCCAAACTTCTTCTGCATGGTGGAAGTGATCCCAGGTCCAGATTCTTTGAAGGTTGGGGTTGGTCTTCCTTGGCACACAGCTCCTGTATGCGGACGTATCGCAGCTCATTAACCTTGTGTTTCCCCCAACCTGCAGAGTACAACAGCAAACTTTGACGCTAATGATAAAATATACCTTGTATACCTTGGTCAATCCAAGTAAGTGATGTCACTTTCTTAAATGATAACATGGTCCAGCTCCATATCGCACAAGAAAATAGAATATTTCTCAATTAGATTGATATGACGACCGTTAAATGTCCCCCATAATCTTCAACAACCTGCACCTCTCAAAATAACCTGTTTTAAGAGTTAGCCTGTCAGTTGACGACATCTTGCTCGAAAATTGTAATAACTGGAACATGCTCATGAACAAATCAACGACGACACGTAAACATCATTGCTATACCAAAAATGGAAAAGGCCAAATAGGAAAATTGAAACCATGAAGTTTATTATACTGCTTGGTGGAAAGTTATCTTTGTTTTTTTTTCCGTGGTAGGAAATGATCAAAATTACATAGACACAAAAATATATATTCAATACAACATGTCCTTACATAGAACGGCTCTCATTCTCCACACAAATCATTCACACTAACTTAAGTTTAATCGTCATTATTCATATATCTACAAATATAGTCATGTTAATTACGTACCAAATTTTAACAACAACGTTCATTTTAGGCCATCTACACTAATTTCAGCTGAAGTTTAATCATACAATTTCTTTTTATCAGGCAGGGGAGCTAATTCATGAAATCCTAATTAGTTTTTATGTATAAGATCAAGAACATGGATTTTACAATCATTGTGGGTACCATTTGTTTATTTGAACTGTTGATGTTCCAACAGGAAGCAATTCCTATTTCATCTATATGTCTTCTTATTAGTATAACCGAAGATTTTCAAAACACAATTCAGATTTGATTTGCAGTTAATATGTGCACATTTTATGTTGAAGTATACCAAGACTGATTTTAGTCGGATTGTTAAATATGCTGACTATAGCACGTAGCCCCGTGTTTGTGTATACAACTCAGGAACTATATCACTCACACTGATGGCAGCACACGAGAGACACGTTTTTATATAGACCGTTAAGGCATTAGCGTACAGTGAACGACTGGGTGTTATAACAAGACACATTTGCTTACAGAATTAGAGTGAGAAGGTGTTGGAATAATTTTGGATTTGTACTCATAAAACTGGCAAGTATTTTTTATTTACAAATAAGGAACATGAGCAATATGGTATTGATTTACCGTACACGTGTGATTGGTTCTAGTATTAATCAAAGTCTTTAGGAGCATGAATATTGTACAAAAATAAAGTAAAAACACATCTATATATATATATAAACAGATACAGTAGAGGCACATCTTACAGATTTTCAAATATCTATCGAAATAAAAGAAATGTTCCCAAGGAAAATATTTTTATCAGAATTACTTACTGAATTATTTTAAATCTTTCTCAGTTGATTCGATATTCAAAGGACTGTTCCATTATCATAAGTTTGTGCAATATGTCAACTAACGGAAAAACTTGTAACATGTGGTTTCCAAAGATACAGGTTGATGAAGATTATCGAGACATTTTACGATCGTCATAGTGCTCTCATTTACAAGTTTTTTTAGCGATATGAAGATTTCATTTGAGAAAGTGAAATTGCTTATTTGTATTTGATTAAGATTTTCATGCCAGGTGATGTTGATTAAGCAAGACACGCTTACTCTTTCGGAGCACCTGGTCTCATTCGCCTTGTACGTTTGCAAGAGTCTCCACGTAAATCTTTCCTTGCTCACATTTTGCACTAGTTTTATCGAAATTAGAGTTGGGATTATGATAGTGTCTTTCCTAGACTAGAGTGATACTATATTTATGCTTCCTGGTGTTGTTTTCGATATTGCTACCTTACATTATGTTATTTAACAAGATAAGTTTGAAATTAAAGTGTATTCATGTAAATATGACCGAAGTTTTCATAGTTCTGAACGTTTCTTATCAAATTAAACTTAGTGCGGAATTACTGCACCATACCCTAAACAACACTAAGAAACAATACATGACTTAGAAGATAAGAGCAGTAAAGACACGTGAATTAAGCATAATGCGGACCATAAATACAGTCTGTCAGCTTCCCACACCATCATCTTATATTTCACATTTACCGTGATTGCTGCCCACAGTGTTGGCCTTTACAACAGCAGCTCATAAATGTCAGTGATCTGTTAAAATATCTTTAAACGCGGTAAATGTTAACAAATTCAGATATGAACAATTGACAGCAAATGAGCATTCTAAATCAAATGTATTCCTGCCATATTCCCAATTAAGCGTTTTTCTGATGTGTGGTCATCTGATATTATATTATCAAGACAAATGAAGCGTTTGCTGTTTTGATAAACAATACTGGTTAATTTCACCAATGATATTTGATAACGTACAGCTTGACTTCTTTCTTATTTGAAAAATATATTTACAAATTTTACAAAATTTTAAGGAAAATAAAAGTTCAATACATTGATAAGTATTGTTTATCTTGATATCGATTTCCTTGTTACGCACTTATTTTTCAATATCGATGACAAATTTCTCTGACATCTGTATTGACTTTTGAAATAGACATAAACTAACATTGTAATAACATGAGCAGAGAAAAAATATGATAAAAGAAAAATAATTTTACTGGTGACTTAACTGCTTGTTTTGTGCTACGGAAAGTAACGAAAACTCATTGATATTGATAACAATTCTTTCTTATGATACTCGGTCTTCTATGTATTGACATTTGACACAATTGGCAACTGGCACAGACAGTGTTGGAATACATCTGTCATATAGATATTTGCATTGTTCGCCAGTGACGAAAAATAGTGTATTTTAGCACGATAATTCGGCATAATTACTTTCTGACTTACTTTTTTTGCACGAAAACTCGTAAATTAATTTAAGTGTGGAACTAACTATATTTCTGCGAGAATCAGCTATTTTTACCTGCGCCAGTTGGCACAATTCGCTGTAAGATCAATGTTAGGTAGACAAAGATTAAATTGGCCTTACAAACCTTTGAAGTTTCAATAATCTGAATTTTCAATAAAAAGATTGCAGTACAAATAGAATACATGGTCAGGGTCTTAAAATACAAACTGCAATTTTGCTCGAGACAGAAAGAAAAAAGTGACTTCCCCTCGTATTTGTCTTTATTTTCGCCTAAAAACAACTTATTGTTTAAGACACTGACCATGTTATCTCTACTTATGCTTTTCTAAAGCATTTGCCATTGATATTGACAACCAATTATTCCTGTTGTGTTTAACGAACTCTTTAATGCCCTTTGATCTGTCATTTTTGTTATACCGCCATTGAGGACAATAGGAATATAGATTGAGATGAAGAAATAAACATGACCTATGATGTTGTCAATGGTCTGGTTTAATGTTGTTAAGCGCCCTATCAACGACAAGTCATTTAAGGACGGCTTTCTTTGTTATATGAAATAAGTGAGTACGTTTGTAGGAAACTGAAAAATCTTTATCATGTGTATGTCATAGTGTAGATCTGAAACGACTTCATGGTCAACCAGACTAAAGTTTAGTTTATAAGTTTCCAGCAGGACATCACAACCGGTCTCATTTTACTGACAACGCGCGATTGGATCATCCCGTCTTTACAATATTAATAATCTGCGCGTTCAGCCTGCTTAACGTAGTAGGTAATCCATTTTTATAGGGAACAGAGTCGAAAGCCATCCTCACACGGACGAACGTACAACTAAAGGCCAAACGTGAGAGTGTGTTAAGTGATAGAAAAGCCTCCAGATGTTGTCGCCTTCTACTTTCATGCAATAATGTAATATGTTCAATTCTTACATTCTACCTGGAAAATGATTATCTTTTTATTGTATTTTTATGATTAAATTGAAGTACGAACTACTACAAGAATTGTATAGACAACATTTTATAATAGAAATCCATGAACAAATTGATTTGGGATAAAATATAGTCTATGTTTGTTGTTCAATTTAAGTTTTCAGTTCTGAAAATGAACGCATTGCTTAATTATATATTTGTCTGAATGTTGAATTTTACAAAAAGACTATTTCACAAATGTATGCAAGACAACCATCACATTACCTGTATATGTACCTATGTTATATAGAAATGAAGGACATTTGAGTTCGTGTATTTTTCCATACCAGGTCGTTATATGACCTCGTTGGCCGAAATCAAAATTACATAATGCATTAAACGTTCAACTGAAGGTATTCAATATTATAAATAAAAGTTAATAATCTTTTTTATTTGCTCACCTGCTTTGATTGCAGGGCTCAAGGAGCAATACATAAAAGGGATAGGCATTGTCCAAATTTGGCCTTAACTTTCCTCAAGTAGTGGGTCCAAGTCCCTCTGGGACAAGAGGCCCAAGAGGGGGAAATAGAAGAATAGTTTTCATATTCTTCTTCATTTGGAATAATGTTATATTTTCCATATTCTCTCTACAGTATATAAGTATAAATGGGAACCAAATCGTTTTTTTATAAATGATAAGTGTCAGTCATCATGGACCCAATGGGCAGGGCTAGAAAAAAGGCAGAGACGTACATGATGGAACATCCTTCTTCTACAGGAATTAATTTATTTTGTCAAAAACGATCTGAAGCAGTGAAGCATTTTCAGTTGAAGTAACTCATTTTGATATTAACGGTGTAACTGACTACCCCTCGATTGGCTGAACTTAGAAGGGAAAATAGACATAAATATCTTAATTACATATCTGTTCGTTTAGCAGAAGTTATTTCAGCGAACATTCTCCTTAAACAAGTTCAAATAAAGTGAAAAACGTCTACCAAAATACTGACATCTGCTTTATCGACGAAATGAGTTATGTCAATCTTGGTCAATTCAAGTAAACAACAACAATATAGCCAACTACATACTAACGACCATTAAACAATGCAAACTTACTAAACGCACACAATGAACAGGAATGTTTCCTAATTAGATGTTAATTACGACCATAAAACCCCATAATACTCATTTTTCTGCCTAATGTCTCTCTTAAACCAACCTCACATTTGACCTTTCTT